GAGATTATGTAAAGGTGCAAATTTCCCATGAATAATGGCATTATATTGTATACCTAAAATGTACCAATGATTAGAATGAATAATCAATAATGCAAAATAGGAAGAAAAGGTCCAAAGGGGTAGGGGTAGAGGGAGGGGCAGGAGAAAGGAAAGAAGGGAAAGGAAAAATGATGAGAAATGGAAAAAATGGAAATAAAGTCTTTGTAACTAGGGAAGGGTGGAGGGGGTGAAGGGAGGGCTAGGAATGGGGAAAAAATAGGAACCAAGATGCATCATGTAAAGGTGCAAGTTCCCAATGAGAAATGTAAATGTGTTGTATACCTAAAATGTGCCAATAAAAGAATTTAAGGAAAAAAAAAAGAAGCAAAGAACCAGCCCCAGGCCTTCCTCAGAGACTTCTCTGCGGGTGAATCCCTTTTAAGGAAACATTGTGGTGGCCTCCAAACAACCACGCATGATTTTCAGAATTGCAAACCTGCCATCCATGCACTTTGAACCATTTTTCTCCTAAAGCAAACTGCTTATATGGGGCCCAGCGCTTTTACCTCTTTTGGAATGAATTTCTTTCCAAAAAACGAGTGTGTCCTTCTCTCCTAGCTCTTTGAAAGTTTCTATTAAAAAATAGTTCGGGCAAAGAACTTCGTACCTGGGAAGCTCTCTTAAGACAGACATGATTTGTCCTGACTGCATTCCTAGTTTTGTCTGCATTTACTGTACTGTATATTTATTTCATGTGCACAGCTCTCTCAATAAATGTTAAGTCACAAATATTTTCTTTGCAAAGCTTTTCCTTTAACCAAGAATTGACAATCATGGTCAATTTCAGCCAACATAGCAGGTAAAATGGGAATAATTTTAGTTTCTCCTGCTTGACATACATTGAAGAATTTCAGTTGCTAATGAAAAAATTTAAAACTCTCTGACTTGAATGTACAAGTTTCAGAAATCTATCAGCAGATCCTCTTTCTGGTAATTTGCAAGCTTAATAGCAAGATAACTTCAAACAGCCTTCCAATCAAACATTGCCAATTACCTCCCAGTGTACCAACTCTAGAGACACAGATAAGGGTTCTCCCCATTCCTCTAATGTTGCAGTACTGGATGAAACTGCTTAAGTCTTTAGCCAGTGATCTAACATCAGAGACGTTTTCTACCCAGCACTCAGTGATGGTCCTGGGCCTTTCTGCAGGAAGGGTCAGAGGGAGAGGTCCAAAGGGCCATGAGCTCCCCATTTCCAAGAAGGGATTTCTGTGTTGGGTCCTGTAGGCTACCTTGCATGGTTGCTTGGTGAACAAGGCTTCATAGAAAAGGAGATCCTAAGTAAGACTATTATCCCGGGTAAGACATAGGTCCCAGCAATGGACACTTGAGGAACACACAAGAACTGCTTCCTAAGGAATGATATGCATAGGGCAACCACTGGATCCTCCTACACAATCTCAATTCAAATTATTCATCTTCTCCCTAACATGCTCCATATTTAGCTAAATATATGGTCTGAATTTTGTTGAGAAAGTACAATGATTTTTTTTAAATTAGTGGAGCCTATTTCAAAACAAGTTTTACTGATGAGAAATTGAAGTCAGGAGACCAATAAAACCGTACCACTGAGAGTGATAAGAAATAATTCAAAAGTTGGCTAGAGTCACACAGCAGTGATGTTTTCACAAGTTATTTGACGGGATCTTGAGGGGCTCCTCTACCCACC